ACGGTCCTCTTCTTCCTCCCTCGGCTGGCTAATTATGGTTTCTGGCCCTGCCAGAGTTCCTAAGTGGCTGATACTCCTGGGAGGTGGTCTTGAGGAGCCTGGACCTGGCAACTGGTTTAAAGTTTTCTCTCAGAGGCATTCCTGTGCCCACAGCTGTTCTCACCTGCAACTCCCCTGACCTAAATGAACATGGTCCATTCTGTTGACCTTTCTTTCTTCTTGGCTCTTAAGGAATCCAGATCCACTTCGGATTAGCCTCTTCCGAGGCCTGTTCACACCTCTAAGTGGCCCTTTTGTACGGTATCTACAATGCATCCTCAGAAAGGCTCACTTTCTCTCTTCCACGTTTGACCAACATCTGGTCCCACATAAGCAGTCTTCTCAAAGCAGATGCTGAGCGAGCAAAGCAGTCTCAACACACCAGCAGTTCTTCTCCCTGAGCCAAAGTAACTTACCAGCTCCCTCACGTTCCGGGTTCCCTGGGTGTGAGTGAGACACCTGCTCCCAGAACTGCAGATTCATATCAAGCTCTCCAAACTGGGTTTTATGACCTATCCCTCTCACCATCCCTCTTTGGCAGCTCTGTAATTTCTTTTATTCATAAAATGCATTCTCAAATTCATAACAGATTAGCCACCCATTCTATTCCCATACGAAGCACTGATATATAACTAAATTAAGTTTCTGTGTTAAAAGCGGGGGGGTGGGAGGCAGGTGGTATCACATTCTCACCTAAAAGAAAGGGGATTCATGTGATAGAATGGAGGCAGGTGAGAATTTGCATAGAAATAAAATCCTCAGTTCAATGTATCAACTCCAAATTTTATGCCCACGACTAGATGTTATTTTTTCAATCCAAAGATCGAGTCTAAATTCCAATATATTTTATTAAAATATTACATTCTTACATTAAGAAATATGCTTGTAACTAGCCAGATTGTAATAACTCAGTATTCACTTTAAAATGAGTATGAACAAATACAAAGAATATCTGAAAATAAAACATGTATCAATTACCCAAAGTAATCAATTTAATAGATATAGGCTCCTCGTAAAACTCTGGCATTCTGGTAGCTTTGAATGGATAGCTTTGAAAGTTTACAAGTCCTCTCTAAGCCCATCGTTATTAGACTGATTTGGTTGGAATGTGATTCAAAATAAGTTGGAGAAATTCACTTTCTGCATGGTATGGTGAGGAGGTTGATAAACCACCTCGATTTTGAAAAAAACAGCTATAAATCTAGAAAAATTATTTAATAAAACAACCATTTCAGCACTCTGGAAATTAACTGAAGATCTGCAACTAAGAGGTGCTTATTCATGAAAACCCCTGACATTCAGGTGAGAACGGGGTGAGCCTGAGGGATTCTTTTCTGCCACAGCCCCTGCCAGGTCTACAGGTACAGCAACTCAACCAGGGCGACGGCAGACCCTGGGAACAAGGCTTGCTGCCCCTGCCAGAAGGGACTCATCTGACTTGATGCGTTGTAAGTTACAGTGGTGAGCTCCAGGGTAAGCAAACAGGGTTCGCTAAGGTTGTAGTCCTGTTTGGGGCAAGCAACAGAGCAGCCAGGTATTTCCCTGGAAGTTCTGGGAGGTCACACAGCATCTGGGTTTGAATAAGCACTCAGTATCCTCCAGATATTCAGGCATGCCAAGAAGAGAAACTGGTTCAAGCCATCCACATCCCCACGGTTGCCAAAGCCTGCATGTATGCACAAAGGAGAAGCAAAAAACCCCACTAGAAAGCAAAGACCACTGCAGACTTGAAAATGACCTGAACAGTGAATGTACTTGCTGGCCCACACAGATGCATTGGCAGAGTGGAGGCCTGATTGATGGGGTTTGAACACAACCTCTGTCCAACCTCTGGCTAAATGCTAAGCTATGCAGTCACAGCAGCAACCCTTAGGAAGCAAGATTTAACATTTTAAAGATGAGCAGTGACATCAGTGGCTGCACACTGTAGTGGGCAGACTTCACAGATTTACTGCTGGCAAGTTACTAAACAAAACAAGAACCACCTCTGGGGAAAAACTCAGAATTAGTATTGCTACATTATCTGAAATTCAACAAGACTACAAAGCAAAGAAAAGAAAGTACACCCTGACCGAGGAAGAAAAGCATTCAAGAGAAGCTGAGTTACCTCCAGGTGCTGGAGTCAGCAAAGACTTAAAAGCAGCTATTATGAACATGTTGAAAGAACGAATGGAAGTTTTAAAGAATTAATGAAAGCTGTGATGAAAATGATGCAAAGCACAAAGAATATCAATAGAGATACAAACTATATGAAAGAACCAAATGGAAACTTGGAGCTGAAAAATACATGCCTGAAATGAAAAATCCAGTTGAAAGAAGAATCAGTGAACTTGAAGAAAAAAATCAACAGAAAAGTAATCAATCTGGAGAGGGATAAAAGCAATGAAGAAAACCAACAAAGCCTCAGAGACCAGATTAACATCAAGTATACCAACACATGTAAAAAGAGGACCCCAGAAGAAGAGAGACAGGGGGCAAAAAATGTATGTCTGAAGAAGTAATTGCAAAGAACTTTTCAAGTCTGGTGAAAAACATTAGTCTACAGACCCAAGAAGCTCAACAAATCCCAAGTAAGAAAAACTCAAGGAGACCCACACATTCACATCATAGTCAAACACAAGGCTAAGAAAAAAAAAAAATCTTGAAAGCAGCAAGTGAAAAACAACTTATCAGAAAATGAGACCAAAATTATCATTAACAGCTGACTTCTCACCAAAAATAATGGAAGTCAGGGGTCTGTGGGATGACTTATTCAAAGTGATTAAATTGTTAACCGTGTATTCTATATCCAGCAAAAATATTCTTTAAAAAAAGGCAAAATAAAGATATTCTCATATAAAGACTGAGGACTTTAAGATTATAGAGTATAGTTATGTCACTATTGTTGAGCGTTGTAACACGTACAGATGCAACACAACAACAATAGCACAAAGAAGAGAAGAAAAGGAGATATACTGGGACAAAGTTACTTTTGCCAGAGGTAAATGTGTATTACTTTGAAGCAGACTGTGATGAGGAGTGATAAGATGGATACTGTCATCCCTGGAGCAACTGCTAAGACATAACACAAAAGAGGAGGAACAGAAGGATCTCTTTAGATATGAGAAAAGCAGAAAATAAAAAGCAAAATGGCAGACAGAAAAGCAACAATATCAATATTACCTATGAATGAACTAAATACCCTATTCAAATTACACAGACTGCTTTGAGTTCTGCAGGAACTAAGGCCCCCAACCAAGAGGAGGACGGTAACTCCTCGCTGAGACCCAAGGCTGGCTGGAAGCTAAGGAACGATGATGACCTTTTCTAACCCTCATGACTTCAATCAACTAAAGCCTGGACTCTGTCAACCTCTGCCCCAATTCTATGCTGAATTCTCCTCTGCTCAAGCCCCTGCATGAAGACACAGGTACCCTCAGCTTAAACCTTCCCCAATCTTGCTGTTCAGGGAGACACTGCTTTGTTTTCCTTACTTGCTGCTCAAGTAGTAAATTATTTATTCTCTTGCTAAAAAAAAAAGTAAAAAAAAAATTAGATTGTCAGACTAGATAAAAAACAAAGAAAAAACCAAGATCCATGTGATAAAGGACTTGTCTTCACATAAGACAACAACCCAAAGGGGGATCTGAATGGACGTTTCTCCAAAGACATACAAATGACCAACAGCCTAGCAGAGGATGCTGAAAATCACTAGTCTAGGGAAATGTAAATTAAACCCACAATGAGATTCTACTTCATACCCACTAACAGAATGGCTCTGTCCAAAAGACAAGACTATAAGCAGCACTGTGCAAGAGATGGAGAAACTGGAACCCTTCATACATTGGTAGTTGGAACGTAAAATTAGTTACTTTCAAACCAGCTCATCAGGTTCTTAAAAAGTTAAAACAAACTCACTGCATCATGCAGCAATTTCTAGAAGTCTATCCAAGAGAAATGAAAACGTGTCCACACAAAGACATGTACACACATACACAATATATACACATCTCTGTATGTGTATGGAGGGAGGGAGGGAGAAGTTGCAATAAAAAACTGGAACAAATGAAAACAAATGGTAAATCTGGATCAATGGAATATGGCAGTGCCTTGTAGTATTCTTGTAATGTTTCTCTAAGTTTGAAAGTACATCAAAATTTTAAATAAACAAACAAAAAAACCCCCAGGAATATCATATAGCAAGCTCCCTCTGTCAGCCTCAATGAAGACCATATACAACTTCAAAGTTACTAGAAAACTGTAACTAATGTTAATAAAATCACTTCAAGAGTATCACTTGGTTATAAAAACCAACACAATGTCCTCTAAAATAATTTTTCTACTGAGTTAAATAAAGTCATCTGTAAATCTTGTAAGAACACATCCATATTCACAAAATCTGAATGAAAAATAAACACAACTTTCCATTTCTAACACAGAGTAATTCAAAAGTTCACTTTGAAGGGGACTGAGTTTTTGGTTTTATTTTGGTTTCAATGCCAAGCATAATTACATAGTTATTCAGAATTTGGGTTGTGTCACTTGTTTTTTAACAAAATACTGCTGCTCTGAAATAAACTTCATTTTGAGAGTGATAAGTCATTTAAAAAAAACATGAAAATGCAAGCTGCATTTTTAAAAGGTTATAATCATTTAAATTCTGATTGCATCTGTAGGTTCACAATTCTTAGATTTAAAAAATTTTTACATATGGTCAATCCAGAGTATAATTAAATGCATCTTAATGAAGTTTCCACTGATGTATGTAGAAATATGATTTACCAACAGCCAAACAGCATCATTTCTTTATCAAAGATAAACAGTACTATCTAGAAATAGAGAATCCTTCAAGAACTTTACTTCGCTAAGGAAACATACTTCCCAAGAGCCAAAGGCACAATTTCTATTCACATCTAGCACTGTAACCAACCATAAAATCATTACTTATTTTCAACTCAATAACTGATTGACATTTCTCAAACTGTTTTCAATCCTGATAGTTCTTTATTTTCTTTAATAAATTTGCTGTTTGAAGTAGGTGTCCATCATGAGAGTAATAAAATTCAGTAAATGTGACAGAAGATTGACAAAGTGTTTCACACCCTTGAGTGATACCAAGTCAAGAATGGGAGGAAAGCGTCGCAAAACAAGACTACTGCAATGCTACTTATCTTCTTGCAATAATAACAGCAATGCATCCATTCCAAGGGCTATCATCTCACTTCCAACTTCTTCCCCTCAAGAACAATCTGAATCTCTTTGGCATCCAAAGTCTCATAGGTCAATAAAGCTTCTGCGAGATTCTTGTGCTCTTTTGCGTGAGTCTTTAAGATATGCTTTGCTCGTTCATACGACTCCTGAAATATAAAGCAGGTAGGTAAGAGGCACAAATCTTAGGAGAAGGAAAAATCATAAAAGAGGAAAAAAAAACCTTTGTGTGCCCTAAAAAAAATAAGAGAGAAGGAAAGAGATCTATTGATTTCTATTTATAAAAGATAAAAGCATTTAAAAGCTTGGTTCCCTAAAGATAACTCTTTCATACTTCCAAATGTTGTATTTTTAACCTCAAAATCTATCATATGGATAACTGAGGACCACTTAGACAAAAGGCTACTTAAGAAATAAAGAAATTATACATTGTATTTATCTGCTTTCTAAATAGGGTCTGTGAAGATAGAAACCTATTTCTCTATTCAAGATACACCCTAAAACAGAAGGGAGTTTCTTCCTTTTGCCTCCTGAGATTTTATCAATTTATTCAATCTAGAACGGCCAGAAAAGATATACCTTTCCATTCTTTTATTTGGTAACACACTCACTTATCTATTTATGACAACTGTAACACAGTATCATTACAGATTATCCTTGATTTTCATCCATTGAAGTTTTTTAATAACCTACTCTGAATTTGTCACTTAAATTCTTCAACCTTCTTTCCAAGGTGAGTCTGAATTAAGTTTATCAGCTTATGAACAACGGCAGGAATAACAGTTCATTTTTGGCAGTGTCACAACATTTGCCTGTACAATGTCCCAATATCTCAATATCTAATCATATTTTGGGTAGAAAATGTAAAAATGAATTTACCAACACCAAGAAGCCAACAGTTCATATAAACATGATACAATCATTAGATATTATGAACATAGCCATTATGTTCAAGTAAATAATCAAAGAAAATATACAAAATATTAGAAATACATTATGAAATATTACAGCTAAAAAGCAAGGATAAATTACTAATGATAATTTAATACTTTAAAAACTTTCTTGGAATGAAGCCCTTACTTTATAACATATGAGACTACTATTAGGTTCCATGCTTTTTTTTAAATGAAGGTACCGGGGATTGAATCTAGGACCTTGTGTATGCTAAGCATGTGCTCTACCACTGAGCTAGACCCTCCCCCTGCCCCAGGTTTCATGCCTTTTATGTCTCACACATTTGAACCTAACATGATAGTTCGTAACAACGTAAGCTCGCCATCTACTGGAAACAGTACCTACTGCCTATCCAATCGTCCACTCCAGGAGGAAATGACTCAATTGTTGCTATTCTGTTCTCTGAATTTTTAGAAAGTGTTATAGCAAAGAAAGAATATTTGCACAGTAGAGACAATTTACTCAGAGTAACACAGGGAAAAGGGAGAGAATGAAGATTCCGGACAGGCGGACTCTTTCTCTTCTGAAACAACTAAACCTTCCTATTACATAAACTTTCCATCTCAAACTACTCTAAAGCATTATTTTTGCTCCTTGAGTTAATCAAAACTTGGTCCTCTCAGGGAAATTGCTTTCTCTAAGCCCTCCAGTGGCATTTACTTACTCACTCTTACCTAGATACTTCAGGGTAAAAAGGTAAGCGATTTGTTCCCTTCACCACTTCCAGCCCATTCCAGTATCTCATTCTCTTCCATCAGCACTACTCCTCTGAAGTTCCTACCACTTGACTACAGCCCTACCCAACCCTTCAAGCGCCATCAACTACCTGAATCGCAGTCCTCGCTCACTAAAGGCTTCGGGTACTCAGCTCGGTCTCCCTCTCCATTGAAGACGTGCCTTCATGCACATCCAAATGGAAAACCTTCAACCTCTGCACTAAGCTCCAGACCCATGTATCTCTCCCAACGTGAAGTCTTCACTAAGATGCCTCAAATTCAACTCATGATCTACCCACTTCGCAGCCGTGGCCCGCCTCCAGTGTCTTCTCAGTGGATGGCACAAACACACTGCTGCATGAGGCAGAAATCTAAAAAACAGCTCTATGTTAGCTGCCCTCCCAGCCAAAACATCACAAAGGTATGCTGATTCTACTACATGAGTATCTTCTGAATGCATCCACGTTTCTCAAGGTTGACCTTCACCACTCTAATCCAAGCATCAATTATACCATGGCCAGACTCACAGTACCGATTAACTGTGATCTCACTGATTTTACTCTTACACATTTCTTTGTTGTGCCTACTCTGTATTCTCAGCATTTGGACACTGCCAGGCATAAAGCAAATAATAGTATTAGTATGTCAGAGTGGGAAAGCAACATAATCAAGTAATCAATGTCTTTCATCCTAATACCTCTTAGGGTTTTATAGCTGAAGTAGAACTGAATATTTAAATCACAGATATAAACCGACCTTAGCCTGTAGCCAGAATAAAATAAAGATCCAATCTATGACCAGAGGTTCCAGTCTACATCAAAGATCCAGCAATGACACTTTTCAATCATGGTGGCAATGGTCCACCTATTAACTTTATTAGATATAGTGACATCTCTAAAGAACAGAGGAACTTATATATTTACACACATTTTGAATAATTAGATAAATAAACATAAAAAAAATATCATTACCCTCAGAAGGATTCTGATTTCCTGTTCAATAGCAGATTGAGTTTCTGGACTCAGTTTCCCCGTATCACTGTAGGTCATAACTCCAAGCTAAAATCAATGAAAAGAAAGAAATTGAACAGGAAAACCTCCAACACTAATGTGCATAACAGAGGAAGTACTATACATAAGGAAGTAAGTATCATGGGAGCAAGGAAAAATTACAATGTAAATATGCCCTTGAGGGCAAAAAATTTCATTATTTTCCTGAAAGTCTAAAAAGTGCGAGCAAGGGAAAATTTTAAATCCTCAGTTTGGTTCTGAGTACCTTCTTAGAAAACCTTAGCAGCTATTCTAAGTCCAGAAATCCACAATTCAGAGTACTGGAGTTGCTTCATGGAGCCACGGTGATAATGTAGGAATGCAAAATACATGGAAAGGGCAAGCTCAACAGGCAGGTCTTTGATGTCACGTGAACAGAAAAGGCTAAAGAATTTGTATTATCATTTGATTAATCCATGAAATAATAACTGTTACTGTCTGAGCAGCTAAGACTGGAAAGAGTGTTACATTTTATTTATCAGAAAATAATGTTTAGAGGGGAGGGTATAGCTCAAGCAGTAGAGTGCATGCTTAGCATCCATGAGGTCCTGGGTTCAATCCCCAGTACCTCCTCTAAACATAAATAAACAAATAAATCTAATTACCTCCTCCAGCCAAAAAATTTAATTTAATTTTTAAAATAAAAGGAAAAAACGTTTAGTTTAGAGTAAGCCTCATCAAATTCATTTGGAATGAGACGGGGAAAATCTACCAGTTTTTAATGAGAACGCTTTCTCATGATGAGACCTGGCACATCATCATTTGATACGTGAGAAGGATTAAAATTAGCTATTACCTTTTCACTCATTCCAAATTTGGTGACCATCCGCTTGGCTATTTTGGTTGCATTATCAAAATCACTAGAAGCACCTGGAGTTTAAAAATATACACAGAACTCAAGTTTAAAAAAAAAACTTTAAACCAATAAACACAATCTGGATGAATGTCATTCTTTGCAGCCAACCTGTTGTAATGTGATCAGCTCCAAATATAAGCTCCTCAGCCACTCTTCCTCCCATACTGACATCCATCTGGGCGAGCAGCTGAGCTCTGGTCTCATTCCATCGATCATTCTCAGGCAACAGGGACACCTAGACAAGTAAAAAACAAAGAAAAAATTCAGACACGGTTTTGAAACACTTATATTAATAACCTGAATTATCATTTGTCTCTCATGACCTTACTCAATACACGATGCTGAAAGCTCAGAGATGTTTCTGACACCATCTACACAAGGAACACTCTTTATCAAGCAGAAGTACATTTTATAAATAAGTAGCTAATGCTGCAATACAACTGTTTTGTTCCTTGTTGCACAAAAATGTTTAAAACCTCTATAATTAGAAAGATGCGAAAACAAAAGTTGTACTCGATGAGAAAAATCTTAGAAAAATGATTAAACCAGCCACTATGATACATAATTTCTTGAGGGGAAAAAAGCAACTATGTATTTAATAATTTTTTGCTCTCATTCCTGAATTAAATTTCAGAATGTAAATATATTATCTGAAATATTAAGTATATGCTTTATTAGCAGATACATTTCACACTATGTCTGATTTCAAGACAGTTGAGGAAGTTAAAGAAGAAAGTATCAATAAACTTAGGAAGTAGTAAATTTTCTTTTTAAATGTTTTCATCAGAAACTCCTACATAAGCTCCTGAAGAGTACTATTTGAGAGAAAAGAAAAACTAAAGATACTTACATGTCCAAGTGTTGGCCCTCGTGGCATGATTGTAGCTTTGTTGATGGGCATTGCATCTTTAGTGTAATATGCAATAATAGCATGACCAGATTCATGATACGCTGTGATGGTTTTATTTTTGTTATCAATTTCCACGCTTCTACGTTCAGGCCCTAAGAGTAAAAGTTGAAACACTCCATTAGGAAGGTATATTTAAATGAATGAAGCCTATCTGTCTCAGAGTCATTCCTAGAGTAATGTAATTCAGTATCATTAATAAATATTTTTAAACAGTGTAAAAGTTTAAAAAGTGAGTAGACTCCACTCTACACGTGTAAACCACCATTTGTCAACTGAAAACCAAAACTGTCATAGCTTTCATTTTTATCCTTACATCAAAAGGGAAAGCTTAATTCTATTTATAGAAAATAAACTTCTAATTTAACAGGAGTATCATAACTAACCTGTTTTGAAGCCAACTTAAGATTCAAAATAAAAATTAAATACTGAAAAACAGTAAAGTTAACTATTCTTTTACCAGCAGTATCAGATACGAGGAAAAATACGGGCACTCATGCCTCCCAAAGAGTGTAAGTTATAATACATTTTTCTGTAAGAAGCCAAACTGTGTTGCTATGTTTGAATATGTATTTGCATGTTTCTGTACCTTTCTTTTTAATAAACTTTCTCTCAAAATTAGTAATTTTTTTCTCTGACATAATAAATAGTATTAAGACAGGTGGAAAAAAAGAAAGAAAACCTACCCATTAGGATTTTATCTTTGGAAAACTCTAGTTCCTTCATAGTAACCATTTCTTTTCCATCAACAGCTGCCTTCAGTGCAGCTTGGTTCACAAGATTCTCCAACTCTGCTCCAGAAAAGCCAACAGTACCTCGAGCTATGATTTCTGGATCAACAGCTATATGAAGACAGAACACAGCACAAAAGTTCGAAAAGAGTTAATAAAAAGCTCTTCACAAAAACTCACATTCCAAAAGAAAACAGAAAACAGCCGATTTGTGAACTATAATTTAAAAATTTATCTTAATAAAACTAAAAAGTAAGCTAAATTTACTACATTCTAAGGGGAAAAAGCCAAAATTCCTATTAAATGTACCACTAAAATTGTCATTGGGACAAATCACGAAAGTTCTTAAACTTAAATAACTTTACAAAAAACAAAGGAAAGTAGAGCCTCCAGATAATGATTGATAAATCTTACGTAGTTACTGGCCTAACTACAAATTGAAAAAGCACATTCCTAGACAACATTTTGTTTTCAGAATTTCATCCTGAAATAACTTTGGACATAAAAATCCCCCTTATTATAGGAAACATATTTGGTTTTATGAATTGATTCAGGTTATCTTTGAAAACACTGCAGATTTAACAGCTTCTTTTACTACTCAGGTGGGTCCACAATATTTCCATGTGTTTTGTTTTATACTTTGCTTCCTCTCTTTTGCCCCAAAGTGACTGACTATATCATGAGGTTCTGTACTCCTAATACACCGGTGTTTCTATTGTTTTATATTTTATATTCATCTAAAAAACATTTATATAGAGATTCATCAAATATTATCTGTCTCAATACTCAAAAGAAAAGGTCCTTTCGAATCAGGCTTCAAAATGACAGAATCTCTGGTTACACACTAACAACAAATAAAAGGAGAGAAAAATGACATTTAAATGAACTTGTCTTTTAAGATGTCCTGAGTAAGGACCACAAACAGGGTGGATTGATATATTACCATTTTATAAAGATAATGTCTGCATCACAGAATTAGACTTACACTGATCAAACTTTATTTTATTGAGATACCACTTCAAGATTTCTGTTCGACCTCTTACATCTGGCCTTGGAACTGTAACCTGCATGTCAAAACGACCAGGACGTATTAAGGCACTAAAGGGAGAACACAGAAAGGAAGTCTAAGTTAATAAGCTGACTGTGCTGAAGGTCAAGTTAAATACGACTGGTATACTAAAGAGAAGATGGAAAGACAATGGCAACCAATATTTACTCTAAACATAAGTATTCAGATTAGTGCCTTGTAGAACATGGCTCAAATAACAGTTTCAATAACCAGAAGTCAGAACAAAAAAAAGTTCATAAAAATAAGTGTGTGCACACAAGCCTGCAGAGACAGAACATGTGAGTCAGCCAGTCAAGGAACATGTAATTCCACAGCCGTCTATTATGACAGCCACACATCTATCTTACTGCTCTAAGTATAAAATGTTAAACTAGAGTCTTAGGCAAGAACTATTAGATCAAATGAAAATATGAATAACTTCTATATAATAAAA